TGCCGAGCGGGCTGAGGAGGTCCTTGGCCGGAGTACCCGGTCGGGACGTGGTTAGTGTTGGCTACCACCGAGTTTGGGGCCTTCTTACAGGGCAGGGACTGCGGCCGGAGCGCCTTGCGGGATGGTGCGAGGGCAGCCGAGGGGAGGGGGGCGCTAATGGGGCAACTGGGCTGGCATCGGGTCCTTCTTGTCAGAAAAAAGGAAACTCGTCCACCTCCGGCCTCCTGGAGAAGAGAAGTGAGCAGGCCAGTGCTTGTTTATCTCTGCAAGCCTCCTGACACAGGAGCCAGCAGGCCAGTGCTTGTTCTAAAACAATGAGAAACCCAGCCTCACCTCCAGGGTCTCCAGTTGCAGGAGTATCAGGGTGTTCTGGTTTGTGGTGGCACTGCTAATTCTGGTAGAAACACTCTCCGTAGCTGTCTGTTGCAGGGGGAAGCGGTGTGTTTGTGTTGGCAGGGGCACACCGAAGCTGTTGCTTTTCAATGTCTTTCTGGTTTGGAGATACTGGAATATTCTCCAGAGGTTCCAGTTACACATTGCATACACATACTGAAGTCCTGCTGTGCGTGGTTCACAGCAGTATGCATTGCTTTCCATAATTACTTCTTCTAGCGTGGTCAGCAGGGTCTCAGTTAACCCAGTCTGCTGACTGCAGCCGTAGACCACTGCTGTAGTTTAGGCAAGGAGTTCTCTTTTTCCATATGCTAGAAGTCAGCATAAGTTTGCCATGTTTCCACTTCACCGCCAGTGTAAAGACTTGAGCTTACGTAAGTATGTCAGTGTGCACCCTCATTAGTCACAAGAGAAACTGCATCTTTTTCATCTAGTGAAAATGTGTGTATGCTGCTCCATTAGGAAGTTAACTTAAAAATATTTGTTTTGAACTGCACAGCAGGGAATGTGTTGGTGACATCAGTTAAAGTAAGAAGTTCTTTAGTGGTTTGCGTGTATTACAGAGGGGTTCTGTCAGTCAGTTGGCTGAAAGTGGGACTTAGTGGTACTGCACTCCAGTGTAGTTTTTAGATTTGGATGGTGATAGGTGTCAGAAAAACTCTGACAAGGAGGGCAGGATAGTCTCTCTTTGCTTGGATTAGGTCCTAATCAGTGACATTGCTGGTGTTTCTAGAAGACGGTGTGCTTTATCTGATAATTTTAACTGCTCTGGGCAGCCATAGATTAGACAGCTGTAAAGCTGGGACAGACCAAACTGACATTATCTGTTAGCAGCGTATGTGAACTACGTTGGACCTTTATTCAGCGTGGAGCATCCTGTGCTTTGTTTTTTTATAATGAAGACAGAATCTGTCTTCCCTTCTTCACTGCCATTGCCTTGGGTAGGGTGTTCAGTGTGGCAGTAACATAAAGAACACTTGGGCTTGGATATGGAATGTTTTTGTGGAGGTACCATGGGTGCTCAGAACAAATGCTGGACTTGTTATGTGTGGAGCCAAATTACAGGAGATAAAGTCCTGGAGAAGGCTTTTACATGGTGGACAATAAGTCAAATATGTGTGAGGATGCCTATCTGCACTTTGGGCTACATTAGGAAGGCCATAGCCATTAGGAAGTACTTATTACCCTCTTTTCAGCACTTTTGAGACCATAAGTCCAGTTTAGAGCCCCACAATACAGGAAAGATGCTGACGAACTGGAAGAGGGTACAGACAAGGGCCAGCAGCATCATTAGGTGCCTGGAGCACGTGGTGTCTGTGAAGAGGCTGAGGGAGCTGCATGTGTTTATCCTGAAGAAGAGAGGGCTTAAAGGGGATCTTTCTGCTGCTCTTTATGAGTGGTTATAGAGAGGAGTGAGTTAGCCTCTTCTCAGTAAAGTGACAGAAGGCAACAGGCACAAATTGCAGTAAGGGGAATCCTAACTAGACTAAGAAAAAATATTTTCACCATGAGGGTGGTCAAGCACTGAATCAGGAGTCCAGAGGTGCAGTGGGCTCTCCATCCATGGAGATACTGCAAACTGGGGTGGACATGGCCCTGAGCAACCTGGTCAAACTCCTTAGTTAGCAAGAGGCTGGACAAGTGCAGTCCAATGTGTCTTTCCCATATAAATTATTCTATGATTCCCCTCAAGATGAGGATACAGTGTTTTTCAGACTAGGATTGACTGTCCCTCAGAGAAGGACAAGGGGCAATGGGAGCAAGCTGGAGCATAGGAGGTTCAACCTGAACATAAGGAAAAACTTCTTTACTGTGAGGGTTACAGAGCACTGGAACAGGCTGCCCAGAGAGGTTGTGGGGTCTCCTTCTCTGGAGACATTCAAAACCCGCCTGGATGTCTTCCTGTGTGACCCAGTCTAGGCGATCCTGCTCTGGCACGGGGGTTGGACTGGATGATCTTTTGAGGTCCCTTCCAACTGCTAATATTCTGTGATTAACAAGAATAATGTCATATATGTGATTACAGGTTAGTGCATAGATATGCGAGTAAAACTGTGATGATTGCGTTTGAGGTATTGCATCTAACATTGCAGGCATAAGTACAAGTAATATTTTGCAAGGCTGACATGTGTGGACAGGACTTTAAATTTACTTGAAAAGGATTTTTTGTTTTGAGAAATCCATAAGCGATTACAAATATAGGTGGGAGAGTATAACTTTAAGTGGTCTTTAAAGCTACATAATCGCCTCTGAGTTTTGGAAAAAGTTTCTATGCCATAGCCCATGCTCCATATTGTTTTCTAGCTAGTAGTGGAACCACTGGAGAAGTCCAGGAGTAATAATCTGGTAAATATTGGAGTGTTGAATGGTAGTCCTAAATCCTGCTTTGTCTCACAAGTTGTGTTTCTTGTACTTGCTGTTGTGTTTGCTACCTGACAGGTTCTGGAGTTCGGCTCTGGCAACTGGAGTGAGAAAGAGCTTTCTCTTGCTTTCCCGCATGTTCGCCGTCTCGCGTCCTTTCCTCCAATCACGTGTGTATGAAATCAGTGACGTGCGTGTCACTGGTGCTACGTGCTTATACATCGCTGAAGATAAATCAGCTGCTCGTCACATTGTCCTCAAGAACGTGCTGAGGAGCAAAATGTTGTAAGCCTAAATTAGTGGCATAGGCACAGATCGTGGGAGCAGAGTCCTTGTCACGAGATCAGCTTTCTTCTCATTAATAGGAGTTATCTTGAGCAATGTGGGTAGAGGCTGATTTCAAAACAGAAGGAAAAGGGACATTCTTGCTCTATCAGAAAGAGAGGGAAATAAGGGAGATGAGTTCTGCTGCAGTACCTGCTTCAACATCTCACAGCAAATGTAAATGGAGTAAAACTGATCTGCTTCTTAGTTTTTGTTGTCATTGGGGTTCTGATAGTGTCAGCGAAGTTATCTTCTGAATTTCAGTCACTTGTTGCTTGCAAAAACAGAGCAAGAGTAAAGGAATGGTAGATGTATGTCTGTCTGGGCATGGACTGGTTGACATAGGTCTAGGCATAGGAACTCTGCAGTCATACATGCTGTAAGTCACATTTTCATTAAAAAAGCCAAAACACAACACCCTCAAACTTAGATTCTTTCAGAAATTATTGTTCTTAATCCATTTCTCTTTACAAGCCTACATTATAGTTGCAACATGTTTTTCTTCTTGGTTTTGATTAACAGTTACTTCAAGTCTTGACCAAAACTTTATTCCAGTCTAGGATATTTTTTCCCTCCAAGGTGTTATTGATATTTTGGTAGGACTGCAGCTAAGATAGCTGAGCATACAGGTTGTCTAATGTTGGTAAGATAAAACAAATAGCAAGTTTTCCTCTAAACTGTATGAAGCTAAGAAAAAAGTGTTGCTCCAGGATTACAGAGAGCCTGAAATATCAACCCAGAGAGGCCTAGCCCTGAAAGTTCTTAGGAGCTGGCGCTGGAGAAGAGAGATTCTTACACATAGACACAGTGAAGCCAGAGCAGTTAAATCTCTTAGAGGACTTTTTGTGATCTTTTTTTCTTGTCTCTTCTGCTGCCTCCCTGTGCTGTGCTCTGGGACGTGGTGTTTCAGTATCTGTAGATTTCCAGGTGCAGTTATAGGTGTCTACAGAAGTGAGAACTGCTTATTTGAGCCCATCTTCTTCCTTAGTCATTGGGCACTTGTGGTTAGGGGAAGCGTTCGGTAGGTTTTTTATAGCTCTGGATTTGAGATTGTCCTGTTTCCTGTTGTTGTAAGTGGTTGGGAGAAAGTTTTGGGTGTACTTTGTATCGTGTAGAACATCAAACTAGACTAAGGTAGACAGCTTTCTGAAAATTGAAAATACGGTATAAATTGGTATTGGGAACAGTATTAATGTTCTGGATCTGTGTAAATCGAACATTTTTTAATGAGATAAAGTGTTAGGCTGAGATTAAGCAATTGCACTACCTTTCTTAAATTAGAGTTGTCAGCATTTCCATTACGCAAAAGAAAAGGATTGAAAAAAAATCAAGTAAGAGTTTGCCTTTATGAACCATTATGTTTCCTAATAGGTGCTGCTGGGATTTGGGGTAAATGGTATATGAATAAAACGCATCAGAGAGGTTTTTTGTATGATTAAACAGTATAGGCAGGTCTGTCTTTTTTGAGGATTTATTAATTTATTATTTTTTTTAATTAAACAGGAGATGATAGGTGGAAATGAATCCTGTACTGCGGGACCAATACCTATGTCCTACCTAACCTGCCTGACTTACATTTTGGGAGAATGGACTGGTGTGGAGCACATTGAAGATTACCTGAGTTACGCAGTCTACCTTTTATGGGTGCTTTTTCCACTCGCAGTAGTTTTTCTACTTCCAGGAGTTGTCATAGTCCTCTTCTACACTTCCATTCTCCTTCTTCATATTTATAAAAGGAAGAATGAACTAAAGGAAGCTTATTCCAATGATTTTTGGGATGGTGCAAAACAAATGTTGGCTACCCTATGGGATGGGCATGGAAGAATATGGCATGGTAAGTAAGATCTGACTTTTCATTAAAAACTGCTGAAGCACTTACTTCTGGCTTACCTTTAAGGATTATTAATAGGTGTCTGATTTTTGCTGCTGTTACATGAAATGTAAAATTCAGGCCATTTTTTTTTCTGTTTTCTCAATGACTGTCTGTAGTGGTTGTGAGAAAAAATGCCATTGAGACGTTTTGGGTGTAAAATCTTTTTGTCTTAAGCATTTCTTTCTTTTCTGCTATAAAATTAGATCTTTCATCCAGCTGAATAAATGCAAATATAATTTTTTTTTCTTTTCTACTTTTTATAACTACTCTTGGATTTCCTCATTCCAGGAGGACCTGAAATGATTGCAATAATATTAAAATTAGACCAATTAACTATATTATTTCAGAGTCAATATATGAACACTGAAAGTTAAATGCCAGTTTCCTGATAGCTGGTATGTCAGCACATGTTAGCATAATTTAATTGCACTTAACCAGTCTTTTGCATATAATGCTGAATGATGGCTAAAAGGAGCACTTAGTGTCAGGTCACTCACTGACTGCCACTTCAAATTTAGTTTAGAGCCGGAAACTGTTACAGAACCCTACTTTTTTGTTAAATTTTCTTTCTGTCTATGTGTTTTTGACAACTACTTTGTCTAGTAGAATGTCAAAACTAAGGGCTCTGTTCCGTGTCCTTTTACTATTACTTCTTTTATAAAGACAGACTCAATAAATAATTTGGCTTTTCTTTCTAAGGAAATCATAAGCCTCTTTCAGAACCATTCAATCTAGAGGCAGCCAAAGGAGAAAGAAATGTTTAAGAGCAATTTACATAAAGAACAAATCCTTCTTGAAAATCATCTCTATTTGTTCTCTAGTCAAAGGGAAGCAGGTTCTCAAGGCATTGATAACCAGATGGTGCAGCGGCTGTATCAGATAGGCTTTGTAACACTAAGATGTAACTTTCAAATCTAGGAAAGTACACTAGATCAAAATCAACAGCTATGTCAAAGAGCTTAAAATGCTCACTTCACAAGAAAAAGCTATTTACTTTTTTTCATAAGAGAATTATTTCTTAAGGCCTTGGCTGTTTTTATCCTTAGTAACCTTTTTATAAGATCTAACTTTTTATTTGTGCAGAAAAGATTCTTATCCAGTCCCTCATGGACAGTTGTGACTTTTCTCTGCCCTGCCAGCTGCTTCCATGTTGTCCGTGCACTTCCCTTGCTAAAGAATGAAATGTTTTGTGATTATTTTAATGATTTCACTTGATGTTGTAGGAAGAACTTTTAATCCTGAAATCTCACAGCATCAGAAGATAAAAAAACACAACCCCCCCAAAAAAAACACCCAAGCCCACAACCAAAAAGCTCCAAACCAAACCACAAAACTGGTGTGTGATACCTGTAACTTTACATATGCTGTGCAAGTGCCAGATGTAGGTTCAATCTGGTTCTGATTGGCTGGCATGGAGCACAGCTAGGGGTCACTTGGGGTGGTACAGATGGTATTCTTGCAGTGTGTTGCAGCTCCACAGGTACAGAAGGTAAAATAGAAGGAGAAGAGCCAAGAGTATGATCAGAATTAAAACTAACTAACTAACTAACTAAATATATATATATATAGGAATGGGAACTGGAGACCTGATTAACTTTGGAAGAGATGACAGTTTTGGTTGGGGTTTTTTGGTCTTTTTTTGTTTTGCTTGTTTAAAATAAAAACAGCTCACAAACAAGATACTCTAACAATACTGCTCAGTATTAACTGAACATGTTCTATACTGAAACGTTTTGATATTTTGTGTTAACTGAATATATTCTGCACTGTGAACTTAATTAGAAATGGAAGTTCAGTCACAAACTTGTGTGTGTTTATGTGTGTCTCAGTCAAGCATATAAAACCTCAAATAGCTTTTAATGCTTAGTGATGGAAAAACGGAGCAACTATAACTATGAGGGAAATAACAAAGATAAGCTTCATACCCTAGAGTAAAAGGAGACACGTAAATGGATGTTGTCACATCAGATCTTCTTAAACAGTTATTGGTGACAATGAACTTTGAAAGGTAAATAAAGGCTTGAAATAGGTGTCTTTCACCACTCCTATCCAATCCTTATTTTGTTTTCTCTTGTATGATTGATTCAGAGGACTCTGTGGCCTTGAAGGGAGTGAACTGAAAAAATATATAGTTCAAGACAGTGAGACTGTGTGTTTTGTTTTCAGGTTTTTTTTGTTTTTCTTCTTTCTTTAAATGTGGCTCTTCTGATCTAAATGAAACTTGTCTTTTCTGTGAAAGCAACAGTAAATATTGCAAGTCACATCTTAACTTTTTAGCACTGTGCTCTTATTACTTCTCAATAGCTGTCCCTTTCAGTCCTCCAACTTGTTGCAAGTTAGTTTCTTGGGATATGATTTTATCAGCCTTTGCCATCTCTTGTGCCTTTAACTCCTAATAGGTTATGAGCTTCATGGTACCAAAAATATTCCTGAAGGACCAGGGCTTCTTGTGTTTTATCATGGAGCTACTCCTGCTGACTACATCTATTTCATGGCTAGACTTCTTATACGAGAGAAGAGATACTGCCACGTAGTAGCTGATCATTTCGTCTTTAGATTACCAGGTAACCTACTTCATTACAAACAATCAGCTTGAGAACTCCAATGTTTTTTTTTTTTTTTTACAGTATAATGAATAACAATTGTGCCACAGGAATACAGCTCTTGGAACATTTATAAAAATTAAGTCAAAGTGTTGAAGTACAGCTGTCTCTAGCGTGTTCTTTACAAACAAAAAGTGAGTTTATGAGACTGCATGCAAGAATGGGTCATATTCCTGGCTGGGCAGCACCTTTTGTTTAGAAACAAAAAGAAAGAGATTATGGGAGAAAGAGCTGTCTCTGTGTTAGTCAGTAGCAGAGACTTCAATAAGGTGTTCGGGGTTTTTTGTTAATGTAGGCAGAATGAGTGGTGTAACCTGATTAGGAAGTAAACTGTTTGGAAGCAGTGCCCTTAAAGTTGGCAATGTTAGTCTGGGGACACAATGTATCCCACCCAGTTGGGTATGGTGGGCAGCAGAACCTGTCCCAAAGAAGACTTTTCCAAGTAGTCTTTTTTGGAGGAAAGGTGTAGATGTGTCCAACAAGGTTGTGTGAAACATGAGCTGAAGCATGAAGAAAATTAAGAGTATGTTCAGTGCAAGATTTTAGCTGGACAGCCGAGAGAAAAACACTGCTGATTAATGAAATTAATTATGTGAGGGGTTTGTTTTTTGTGTGCGTGGAATGCAGTAGTAGCCAATTCTGTTCCCAGGTTCAGTTTGTGACTAAAAACCTCGTAATTAATTTTGTGAATTTACATGAGTGTTCTGTAGTGGACTAGGGCTTGTCTGTTAGCAAATCTTTTGCCTACAGCTGACTAATATAACCTATTTTGTAATTTAAATTTGGCTTCATATTATGTCTATTAATACTTATTATGTCTATTAACAACTTAGTAATAAGTTGGTTTTTTTATCAAAGAGTATATTATTTTCTTTTTCTCCATTTCTGCTTTTAAATAAGGTTCTAAGTGTGAGTACACTTATGAGTGCCTCAGACACTATTCAGTAGCATCACAGAGACACCTGGCTGAATGACTGGTCTCAAAGAGTTGCGACCAGCAGTACAATGTCTAGCTAGCAGCTGATTTCTACTGGCATTCCTCAGGACTGATGCTGGGGCCAAGACTGCTTAATGTTTTTATTGTACCCCTGGATGAAGAGTTGGAGCGTGCTCACAGAAAGTTCACTGATGATACCAGACTGGGGAAGCAGTCTATACAGTGCGTGTTAGAGCTGGTATTCAGAGTGCCTTCACAGAAACAAACTAGCAGAAATGTCACAAAGTTCAGCAAAAGCAAAGGTGAAGCTTTGTATCTGGGATGGAGCAATCCCATGAGACAGTGCCCTGGGTACAAGGTGGCTTTGCGCGGAAGGATTTTGGCGTTCTAGTGGACAACAGGTTGAATGTAAGTCAGCAGTGTGCCCTTGCAACAAACAAGCAGCACTGAATGCTGAGATTTTTAGCAGGAGTGTAGCCAGCAGGTTTAGTGAAGAGATTTTTTTCTCTTGGCTTTGCACCTGTGCAAGCACAACTTGCAATATAGTGTCCAGTTTTAGACTCCCCAGTACAAGACAGACATTGACACACTGGAGTCTGTTCAGTGGATGATGGGGGACTGGAGCACACAGTGTATGAGAAGGAGCTGAGAGAACTGGATTTGTTTGGTCTGTACCAGGTAAGAGTGGGGGAAGACATTATCCCTGTCTTCAACAACCTAACTGGAGGTTACAGAGAAGAGGGAGTCAGACTCTTTTCACAGATGAGAATGAGGAACAACAGAGACAAGTTGCAAAACAGGAAATCCTGATTAGATGTGTGGACGGCTATTTTACCATGAGGGTAATCAGACATCTGAACAGGATGCCTGGTTGGGGAATCTCCATCCCTGGAGACTTTCAAAACTCCGCTGGGTGAGGCTCTGATAAACTTCATCTAGTTAGACCTGCTTTGAGTGGGAGGTTGATGTAGACAACCTTTAGAGGTGCCTTCCAACCTGCATAATTCTCTGGTTCTGTGAAAGAGTTAGGGCTATTCAGGGAAGACAAGCCCAAAGAGCCCAGATAACGTTCTGGATTGTGTTTCAAAATCTACACAATCTGTGACTGGCAAACCCTGCTATTTTAGGAATCTAAGACAGTTCCTCTCCTGTAATACCAAAGGAAATGAGCTGTAGCTTCTTGACTATTACATACACAAGGTGTTGCAAAGTGTCTTGTGGACTAGATGTTCTGCAGATGCACGTGCGTGGTTACCTACAATTGTGGAAGGTTGGATTCGGTGATCTAAATGATTCCTCTCTGTGGTCCTAAAGGTCAACCACAGAAAAATGGTGACATCCTTGACATCGTGCTACCAGGTAGCTGACAGCCCCTATGTTATAGTTACTGGGGCCAAGATAGAGAATATAGTGCACTTACTGAGATGAGTGTAAAAGGAACTGCTGGGCACTTTGCAAAGGGTTTTCAAACATCGGTGTGGACACAGTGTTGTAGGAAATAGACAAGAGAATGTGCCGGGGCAAAGGGCAGAGTCTAGGTTGAACTGTGGAATAAAATTAATTTTCGACTTCTTGGTATTTGGAAAAATCAGCATCACTTCATGCTCTGAAAGACTGAAAAATTATGTTTAGATAATTTTGAGAGTTGCTTTGTTGTTTAAAGTAGAAAAGTAGACTCTTGGTCACTTTCATGCAACAGCCAGGCACTACCCCAGTGTTTTTTCTGACTCCATGATGACGCAGAGTGCCTTGGGCACAGAGTACCCTAGCTGTCCCTTCAGAGCCACTGTGCTGCTTCCTGTCTCTCTGCTGCTCTAACAGAGCCAGGCTCTTCCTCTTTGCTGCTGGAGCAGAGATACTGATAGTAATGTATGATCTGCTGGCTAGGCTATGAGGTACAGCTCAGAATATAAGGTTTATACTAAAAGTCAAGCCCCATCACTATTCTGTATTACAATTTTTTGCCTGTATTCTGTCTATATTCTGTTGGGTTTGTTTCTGATCTATGAACTGGACAGGCTCGTAGAGTTGATTTCTCACAAGCTTCACACACACACACCCCTTTCCTTGCATGTCCAATGCAGAAAGGAAAACTATCTTCACAGCTTCTGTTTCCTTGAGTCTCTTTTCCCGCTTGGCTCAACAGTTCTCATGACTATTTTGTCTCTCTCCTGAACTCAGACAGAAAGGGCTTAAAGACAGTTTCCTACCACCAGGTACACTCCACAGAGCTTTAATAAGTTTGGGAATGTAAAGCATTGTAAAAATTATTTATTTAAGATCACACAAACAAAAGCACCCAAGAGAAATTAAATTACTTTAGGAAAACTGTTTGAGATGTCCTCTGTGCAGATGCTGCTGGATGAAGACTGCCAGTGTCGTCAGCAGTATGTGGGGGAGGCACAGCAGAGTGTGAGATGCATGTAACGGGGCTAGTGTTCTCTTGTCATGTTTTCAGACAGGTCCCAATTGTGTATAGGTATAAACCAGGTTTAATTATACTTGCACCAATTATAAAGATGAGTTAGAGATCAGAGTTTAGTTAAGAGTAATCTGATGTGGTGCTTCATGCTCTCCTTCCCAAGCCTTTAGTTTATGTGGGCTGTAAGAGAAGACAAATCTCTGTCGTCTTAACTATGTTGGGACTCTTCTTCTGTTTGTGTGCGTGTGTGTGTGTGTGTGTGTGTGTAACAAATGTTTGTTCATAATAACAACTATTCATTTGGTAACCTGATGTTAAAAAATGAAGCTCTGTTATTGAGGGGCAAACTCGACTAGATCAGTTCTGTGTCCTTGTCTATGGCTGATGAGGTTGTTTGCCACAGTGGGAAACTCCAAGAAAGAGAAGTAATCTTTCCCACGCTGCTCAGTCATCTAAAGTTCCCATTTCAGTATGCAGTACTCATAAATACTGTATAAATTTAAAATTTATTGAACCAAGTGAATACTATTCATTTCCTGCAAACAGAGGTTTGTGCTAGTTATGTTCTTTCTAGTTATGTTCTTTTAGACTAATTGTCTAAATTGATCAGGTATGTGCCCATTTGATGCTTGTAAGCAAATTTTTTTGTGTTCTGCTGTTTTTAGAAGAGTAGGATCAGTATGACAATTAAAATTCAAGATGATATGAGCAGTTTATGTAACTTTACAGCTAAAAACTTCAGTAAATGAAAAACCTTAACCTAAGATTAATGTACCCAATCCAGGCTTGCTGGATGCCTCTTAGTGTGAAAGATACAGGCTGAAACCGGGAGTCAATTTCTGCAGTGATTTGTAACACAGAGAATGCTGCATTTTCTTTGTCATTCTCCTTCTTGCATAGACTGCTCTTTGTTTGCCAAAGTTAACAAGACAAAAACCACAATAACTTGCTGGTATTTTTCTCTTGTTGCACTTTATTAGGCCAGTGCTACATTTGAGAAGTAGAGCTTGGGCAAGGAGACACTGCCCTGGACCTGACTTAGCAGCTTCTTTGAAGGAACATGTGAAAGGTGGCACAGAATGCTTGCCATTTTTTTCCAGTTTAGTCCTGATTGTGAGATAGCACCTGACTTTACTATGACAAAAAGCCACTGAAAACCTTAAATCTTCAGTTTTGTAGATCAGCATTTATAAGCAGGACTTAATGCTTCAGTCCCCCTAGAAACATCTTGGATTTGGGGTCACAGGTTATTAGACAAGTAGGTTTTAGCCATTGTGTTCTGTGTTGGGAATGTGTACTCAATGGTGTTAATGAATTAACACTTTCTGAATTATCTTACCCTGCAGGTTTTAAATTATTACTTGATGTACATGGAGTTATGCATGGACCAAAAGAAGAATGTGTCAGTGCTCTGAAGAAGGGCTGTCTGATAGCCATTGCCCCAGGAGGAGTTCGGGAAGCACTCTTCAGTGACGAAATGTATACTATTATCTGGGGTAATCGGAAGGGCTTTGCTCAGGTGGCCATTGATGCAAAAGTGGTAAGTATGACAGATCACAGAAGAGAAGCAAAGAGTGCGAATTTTTAGTACTCCTTTCCAGGGAAAGCCGTTTCAATTATTATATGTTTGGTGTTACGTTGCTGACTGTCATGAGTATGGTCTCCTTGCTCTCACAGCTACATTTCAAGACTCATTTTTGTTGCTTTAGATAAGAAGGCTTTGGAGTCAGCTGGGAATAGTGTGGTCATGAAATCCAGGGTTTAAAAGAATAAGAGAGTGGTTTCTACATTATAAGCTTGTGCTGTTTTACACATACCTGGTCAGGGTTGTGATGGCTCAACCCCTGACCAGAATGACTGGGAAGCAACCGTACATCAACATTTCTGTTTCTTCTGTCACTGAAGTATACTGTGACCCCGCGCAGTATAGACTCATGGGCACCTTGTACTGTATTGGCGTTCTTATGGTAGTAAGGGATGCCTGGGACATACAGCAGCAGCAGCAGAAGCTGTTCGCTGGTGTGAACTGTTTCTCCTCAGTTCTAATATATAGCATTGTGCTTGGTCAGCAGGCAGATAATTATTCATATGGGACCAACTGTGGAAGGCACAGAGATGTATGATATGTTTGAGTTGCAACTATTTTAATAATCCTTCCAGAGTCCCTCTCATTCTGTATTTGCACTTGAAAGATGTGAGCATATGTCCGTAGGTCTGCATATACCTAATTTGAAAGTAAGTCTCACACCAAGAGTTTTATATTTAGGTACTGTCACAGAGAAACTAGTTAAATCTCTGGATTTAATACAGAAATAGAATACTTGCAAGACCCAATTTTAAATGTGTCATTTTTCTCAGGTAAAAAATAACACAGTTTAAATAGGGTATTTTCAGCAGATTTAGATTTTACTAATGCATTATGATAACATTATGAAAAGCCCTACTTGGGATACAACTATGGTTGTACTAGTTTATTGAATGTATGTTCAGTTCCCTTTGTGTACTCACAAAGATCTTGCAGCTTCATCCACCCCCAAAAAAACCCTCTGAAATGCAGTAGAATAGGAAAAGTGTTGGAGGCAGGCTGAAAGTTTGGAAAATATTTAGTTTAAAGGTGAACTTTAAGTCACCCTTAATCATGAGCATAACTCCTCATGGAAAGAAAAATGCGTCTAAAACTGGGACATTCAACTTCTTGAGGTTTTCTCATTTCAGCAGTTTTTTGCCAGAGTATTTGTCATAGAAACCAACTTGATATATGCAAAATTGTCTGCCTGTGTGTCAAAAGTAAAATAGTGCAAATAAGATGGTTCTAGAATAAAAACAAATTGTTACCGTTCAGTTTAGGCAACTGTACTTCTTTTTATTCTCTGTAGTTGCATTGGATTATTTACAGACTTTTTTTCCCCCCAAAAAAACAACTTGATATCTGTCTGAAGAGTTGCATTTACCATCTCATCTCCATGCTAATTTTAAAAAGTTTGAGAGAATCTGAATGTTTGAAAATCCCTTAGAGTTCTGTATTTCTGATGGTGCTGTGTACAGTGAGTACATACTGTAAAATGATATTTAAAAACTTCATGTTGTAGTTGACCTCCTCGAAGTTTTTGTGAATCTTGACAGCTGTTTGAAAGTTCAAAAACAGCAATAAAAATTAAAATATTAACACCATTCCAAATATTCATTAGCAGAAATAGATCATGGGGATGTATTGAATATGACACATCATGTGGGAAGCAATACAATTGGCATAGCAGAGATGAATCAGACAAGTTTAAGGTCCCAATCATGTGAATTCTTCCCTTGGAGCAAATTAGGCATGAGGTTTAACCGCTTAAGTCACAAATGTGCAAACACTGCTAGATGAGGGGAGGCCTAAATGCTCTATAGGTTCTGAAATCCTGCACTGCTTTGAGAAGATGCATCTGCTGAAACAGTGCCTTGCTGAAATCTCATGCTATTCTCCTGCCTGAAACCTCATGGCAGAAAATGGCAGAACAACTTAGAAATCCTTGTTTTTCTCTCTGTATGTCCTTGTCTGACAAACACTTCTGAATTTAATTTGGTTGTTGGGTTTAAGTGAGGTAAAAGTATTTTAGATAGTGCTATCTTCATTAAATTCTTAATTTTTTTTTTTCCCTCCTAGCCCATCATTCCTATGTTTACACAAAATGTTCGAGAAGGCATTAGGACATTAGGAGGAATAAGTAAGAGATTTTCTATTTTTTGTAGTTTATTTTTTCCTGCATGTGTTCAGCTTATTTTTGTAGAAATAATTTCCATATAAATTTGAGATTTGACACAGCCTTGTTTCTACAGGTTTACTCTCCGGTAGAGTTCGGAGATGTTATTAGGATTTAATATCAGCATTAGATGTGGTACTGGCTCATCAAAGTTACTCTTCACATAACAATGTGCCTTCACAGAAGCAATAGAAGGAAGGAAAAAGGAGCCAGAAAAAGGCAAATAGATGTAGAGTGCAGTTTTTCTCTGCTTATTCTACTAGGCTAACTCTAGGTTTTGTGCTGGCTGATAAGAAGCAAAGCAAACAGGGTTTGCACCTGACATGTAGTTTCTTTAAATGTCCTTCTAAAGCTCTGCGCTTGCACCTCTACCTGTACTTAAACTTGGAATAGTTTGAAATATTATTAGTCTGTACTTGATTTACTATTCAGCACTAAATCTGTGGTGCCTCCCAAAACCTTGCGTTAGCCTGCTCTCTTTCCTTATCTGTTTGGGGCGTTCAGCCAGCATGCGAATAGGTGGATCTGTGTCTGAAGGGTCCCCCTCTGGGATGGTTAGCTGCCAACATCTCTGCTCTTCTGCTAGTGTTAAACCCCCTTTTTTAATATTCCCCAACTTTCTGTCTAGCAGAAAGATCCTAAACAGTCTCTTCCATGCCATGTGTTCTGCCTCAATTATGGCTTTATCGTCCGCATCAGAGGATTGCTGGGCAAAACATCTCTGTTTCGCTCTCCCTCTAATTAAAAGCTATAAATTGCATGGAGAAAGCCAAGGCATCGGATGTAGACGTGCAGAATAATTTACACAATTGTCGAGTTGTACAAAAGTAAACAGCAATTAATTATTGCTGTGTTCAGGAGAATCTTCCCAAACAAGCAGAAATTTAAGCCCAAATAATTCCTGCTACTTCTATTCTACAGCAGAGGTCTAAAAGGAATTTAATTCTGTGGATCACTGGATCCACTCCAGTTTCAGTAGCTTTGGAATATTCTTTGTTTTTATAGGTTGCATACAGAAAGTTCCACATCTTGGTCAGTAAGGATTTTTCTTATGCCAGCACCTCAGTTAAATGAATTTCTTGTCCAAAACTGAGAGACAGAATATTAACACCTATTCTGAAAGGAATCTGTTCTGGGTGCATTTGGGCAAGGTGCTTAGAAGGTGGCAGGCGGGGGAGGAGATGCAAGCTGATTGAAATACCTGTTCCCTGCTTTTATATTGTTTCACCGCAACCAGTGTGTGATCTGAAAATCAGTTCTGCATTTTAGCATGAACGTTCTTTTGGCAGATAAGAATAATTCTGATCCTCTCGACCTCAGTGGGGCTGAATAGAGCAGGCTTCCAATACTGGTTTCTTAAGCTAACTTGTAAAATTAGCTGAACTGTAACCTGTATTCTGTAGCATTACCTTCCTCTCCAGAGAGGCTGCTACTGGGTTTTTGTTGTCGTCTTCCTTCTATTTGCAGCTACTCTTTGGAGGAGAGATTTCACACCAAGTTAAGGTGGAAAGAAGTCTGATGTTAGGATTAATGCAGCTTCTAGGAAATGGAAATGAAGGGTAGAATAGCACTTGAGATGACACATTGTTTGAGAATTCGGGTCAGGGCTGGATTACTTGCCAAGCCAGTTTAGTTTTAAAACATAATGGGAAAAAATACTTTACAAAATAATCTCATTCTCTTTTTCTCTGTGGTTTTTTTTCTATTTTTGTTTTTTTCTCTCTCTTATCTCAACTCCCCCTGCTCTCCCCCTTC